TCATAGCTGAAACCAATTTATTGGACCCCATCGACTCGCTAGTGCTCGGCACTCCGTTCCCTGGGCTGAACGTTTCGTCTTCTACAACTAACATGTCTCAAGGTAACGCATTTCGAGTGCCAACGGGAATTTGGACTTACTTGATTTCCTCACAGCTCTGCAAGATCTTGTGGCCAATGCCACACTTGGTACGATTCATATTATTCATGTAGTCAGCGGGAGCATTGAAATCATGCCCAGGCTTCATTCACCTCAACATGGGCTTCACAACCGTAACTGCATCCGGTCCCTCCAGCGACATCGTCTATTTCTTCAAACGTAGCACCCTCGCCATCACATATTTGCTGTCGTTTTCCATCCTGGTGCTAATTAGCGTCGCCGGGATGTACTGTCTCATTGCGAACGGGGAGCCCAGCTCTAACAACTTCTCTGAACTGCTGGTCGCCACCCGTAACCCGAAATTAGACCCAATTGCAAAAACGCTCAAGGCGGATCCAAAGGTGTCGGGCCAGACGCGGCTGATGTTTGGCGCGGTCACTATGCCGGGCGGGGGGGTGCACGCGGCATTTGGATTAGCGTCTGAACAGACGGTTGAATCCTTGCGCCGCAGGCACTAGGGGCTGTATTTAGATATACCCAGCCCATGTAGGCGTGGAGCCCCGTGAGCCGTATGTGATACATACATCGCTTTATCCATCTCAGCCGTTGAGGGACCTTGACGGTCAGGAGAGCGGGCAGTAAAAACCGATATCTGAACACATCCGCATGGATATGTCGGAAGGGTGACACCTAGAGCATCCTCACTTTGCACGTCCGACCGGAATAAGAACCAATTGTCATGCGAGGACGAACCCGCGCGATTCGATACAGACGAAGATAACTAGTACGTCGAAAAAACTCCCGCTTGTACCCATCAATTGCATTCTCTGAACCAACGGGATCAGCAACGAGTCGACCGGCAAGGGGAGGAAACGAAACCCACCAGGATTCGCGATCGCATCGGGATTCTCTAGTTGCATGTAGTCCGGCCACGCGTAGTTGGGAGTTGTAATGTAGATTGACATCCCCTCTGCCGCTAGCGCCTCAAACGCTTCGAGAAGGTCGCGCTCGTGGGGCGCAATACGCCTGCGCGCAGCCACATGCCGAGGGCGCATGTGCAGCTCAGAGTGCGTCAGCGCACGCTGCGTTCGCAGCAGCGCGAGGAACGACACGTATGCCATCTCTCTGCCGGGATACAAGGCATCGGTGATTTTCAGCATTCGGAGGTGCGGAAGCACACCAGTGGGCGGGAGAAACGGATACCGCGTGTTGCTGTCCGCCACAGCAGCGTCAGGAAAGGTGAACTCCAGCATGACGAGGGATATGGCTGCCGATAGGCAAGGTACGAGATCATAGAGACCGCTGAAGTGCATGTTGACTCTGAGGTGGGTTAGATGGGATGCTGGGCGCGAAAGGAATCCGGTGAGTTGGGCGATTCGCTGGCCGCCATGGACGAGGCCCACTTCTAGATATTTAAGGGTGGGGATTTCGAGGTGGTCGAGGAGCAGGGGGGTCACACTCAGGATTAACGACTTGAGGTACGGAACCACTCGGGGGGGTCCCGGTACAGTCGTATAGTCGCCGAGACTGCTGAGATGGAGTAGGCCTGGGAATCTCTCAAACAGGCGGAAAAATCCTCGTGAGGTCCGGGTGTTGCGTCGCACATTTGCAGTGCGGTGAGCGATGCTGGGAGCGCTGCAAGATCGGGCAGGAGAACTCCTTGATAACCCGTCTCCCCAAAATGGAGAGCCGTCAGGTTAGGGGAACGACGGATTGTCCTGATAGGATAGTCGATGAGAAGGTAATCTGTGAAGGAGATGGCGAGACTCCGCAGCAGGGGGAAAGGGCCCGGGATCTTGTTGAAATTTGTGAAATCCTGGTGCATAAAATTGAGCTCGATTCGACTCCAATGTGCGGAGTGCGCGCTGAGAATTGATAGCACATTCTCTGGAAGACAGATATTTCTATCTGTGCATATAAGTGTGACGGACACCGTGTGGTTGGCGGCGCGCGTGAGCCACAATTCCAAGAGTTCCCCGGTATGGTCGACGACGGGCTCCGCGTCCGGGAGGCCAAAGAGTATAGGGAGTCCGTCATAGGGACCCCCGGTGGGGAATTCAAGATATATGGAACTCCAGAGTTCCGGAGTCCCGAGCGCGACGGCTCGCCACTGGCTGCAAACCTGGGCTAGCTGGAGCGGAGCTCGTTTTCGGCCTGGGCGAACGCGGCGGTGTAAGGGAAGAGTATCGATGAATATCTTCGAGGCCAGTTCGTATGGGAGTGTGAGCGCCGGGCCCTGGAGTTCTTCGTCGGGAGATACTGACATGGTGGTTTTCGACGACGACGAATGACTCCTGCGTGATTGCCGGACAGCGGGAGTTGCCGGTCGCCACATGACCTTGGCTCGTCGTGCTCAAGAGGTGAGCAACGGAATTGCCGGGATATCAACCCAAGGTAAACGACAGAAGAAATGAATCTGACCCAGGTTGAATAGACATCCGTTGGTGCCGGTGAACGCCGGCCAATAAATCCATCACACTACATTTACATGGCTATTTTTCAAAGTTATCAAATTTTACTCCTGCTGTTGCCTGCCTCAGGCGTGTGGCATAAGTTGAACCGAGAAAACTGTGCCCCCCCAGACCCGTCGTCCATGGACACATATAATTTTCCGGGGACTTTGATATCAGAGACCGGGTGGTGGGCGAAGGGGATTCGGGCTTATCTCCAATTGATAGTCATTTCCGCGCAAACGCGTCTAGTTGAATCTGGGCCGTCTTACAACAGGGAACATCAGGTATGCACTAGTTTCCTCCTAGTTTTCATATCCGAATAACGTGAGAAACAAATGTACTGTACATCCCTGTAGTGAAGCAACGGCTGGTGGACCGTGACATTTCCATTGCCTTTTTTCAGGCAACGGATGGGACCGTGAGCGTGACCGTTGCAAAATTTTGCAACCATCAGGTACCTCTTCAACCATTATTACCGTGCTATATGAAGTTTGAATGAATCTTCACAGCTAATTGGAGCTTACCCTCGCACCATAAATGAATTTGCTAGCTGAGATTTTTTTGGGGGATTTTTCTCATGTATGTCACGGTAATTCTGAGGCAACGGCCCTCATCCTGACCGTGATCCGCCCAAAATTTCGCAACGCAACGGCCTCACCGTGACCGTGACCGTTGCTTCAATACAGGCACGTACAGTATGAACATGGTTCGCTGCGGGCGCGTAGCTACGCGAAGCGATCGCGCCATATCTCGTGGGGATCCAAAAGGAACTGGGGGCAGGGCGGCTGTTATACCGAAAACATCCCAAAAGAGAAAAATATCGGTCGCGCCCTAAGTTCTGCAAAGAGCTGCTGTAAAGTGAGATTACACCCCATGTAAAACTTGAGAAGGTCAACACTGATCATTTAAACACCTGAATAATAGAAGAACTGGTTGAACCGAAAGCGAGCTCCCACTCAGACCTGCTCGAGTCTAGAAATAACAGTTGGGTTTGATGCAACAGAGGTCTTCTCGTCCATTTACTCTGCTTGAAAGGGACGCTGAGCCCGTGCGTCATGAGAGAAAAACCTGTAGTTTTCAAACTCTGCCATACCTGGCAAGGCAATGGGTTGCCACGGTTAAAACCCATGATTCGCCGTGACCGGCTTGAAGCTCGGAAATTCCCTCGGTACTTATGGAAAAATAGTCCAGGGAGGATTTTTTAAAATGATGAGTCTAAATGACTCGGGCCTGAGTTGAGCATGTGGCGTGCCGACGCGGGCCGTCCGCCACCGAGTCTGTTCTGTAAAAGCCCCTTTTGCATTTGAAATAAATAGGGCTCTCGTGCGTGAGATGGGAGTATGGGACAATGGAGAGGGAGCAATAATGACTCGGGCCTGAGTCGCCCAGGCAGCTTCTGCAATGAAATATTTGACGAGCGTGCAGATGTGGACCGTCCGCTACCAAGTCGGTAGAATCCCAGCAGGTGTGTGGGGTAAAGATATCGGGAGCTCATCTAGTAGGCCCTGGGGGACATAAAAAGGGTTGGGCCTTCGATACAGTGACTCGGGCCTGAGTCGAACAGGCGGCTTTTGCAGATGGGTCTCCAATGACAGATGTTGCCCAGATGCGGGCCACCCGCTACCGAGTCGGTGTTCACCTCACTTGCGCTTAATAAATTAATCGGTCCGTCGTGCGTGAAAGGTACGATAGAGAAGAAGCGGATCGGAAGAGATCAATGGCTCGGGCCTGAATCGACCAGCCGATGTCTGCAAAATATCATGTCGCTACGCGACAACAGACCAGCCGTCTGCTACCGAGTCCGTATCCACCTCTCATCTACAGTTGATAAAATAAATCAACCTTTCGTGTGAAAAATGAGAGGATGATAGCGAACGAAAAATGACTGGGACAAATTCCATGCCTCGGGCCTGAGTCGAACAGACACCTTCTGCAGAACAGAGTAAATATGTGGTTAAGAGAGTGCAGATGCGGACCATCCGCCACCGAGTGGGTACATACCTGTGATATGCCCTGAATAAATGAATCCTTTGTGCGTGAGGGATGAGGCGGGGACAACAGAGAAAAAGAATTCATGGATGGCCTTCACTGACTTGGGCCTGAGTCGAACAGGCGGGTTCTGCCGACTGCTTCGGTCAGACTAATGCGAGCAGAAGCGGACCGTCCGCTACCGAGCCTGTAACCACCTCTTATCTGTGCTTAATCATAGAGGTCTCGGGTGGGAGAAGTGAGTTTGGGGCCAGTAGAGAACAGAAGAACTTTAGAGAGTCGAACAGGTGCCTTCTGCGGTGCACTGATAGAACTCACGCGCAGGCGGAACAGATGTGGGCCACCCGTCATCGAGTCGTGCTTACCTCTCACCTGCACTCTGTCAACCAATAAATCCCCCATGCGTGAAAATTCCTAGGGGACATCGAGAAGGAAAAAATGCGCAGGGAATCATGGACACGACCCGGGCCTGAGTCGAACAGGCGGCTTCTGCGGTGCAGTTTGGAAAAGACCTAATTTTGAGCAGATGCGGACCGTCCGCTACCGAATCTGTACTGTACCCACCCCTCATCTGTCGTTGCTAAATAGATCTCTGGGGCGTGAGATGGGTCCGAGGACGATCCATGTAAAAAAGGATGAGGAAGAGAAGTTATGATTCGGGCCTGATTCGAACAGGCATCTTCTGCATGGTAATCCGCAATGGGAGCATCCGCTGCAGAGGTGAACCATCCGCCACCGAGTCGATATTTATGTAGTATTTCCGTTGGTTAAATGAGAGCGCACCGAGCGCGTAGGAAGTTCAAGTTGCTGCTCACCGTGAGGGGGTGTGAATGTCCATTCATCCGTAGTTTACCGTGACGCCCTTTCTTCCTCCTTCCCTCCTTCTCGATGTTCGCTCTCCGCGGGCGCGCCCCTTTTGCCCTGCGCGCCCTGCGTTTGCCCTTCTACCTCGTCGCGCGTACGCTGTCTACCGAGGCACCCGCCGCCGCAGCAAGAGCAGGGGACCCAACTTCAAGATCTGGTGCGTCTTCCCCGCGCGTGTGTGCTGAGATGAGAGGTTTCATGTAGTCAGGACTGTACACCGTCCCCCGGCGTGGGGCGCGGTACCGTTTCCATCCCCCGACGATGCGTCCTCGTGTCTCCTCGCTCACTCACCCTCTCTCCTTTCCGCGGGGCGCACGCGTAGGGCTTCGGCGTCTCGTCCACTTGCACCTCACGCACTGGCAACGCTCAGCACGCGTGCTGCGCAGATTCAAGCTCAAGCCGCGATCTTCCTCTGCGTGCTACCTCCGCCGCTCTCCGCGCAGTTTCCCATGCGTGCTTTGCTCCCTCCCGCTCGTACCTTCTCCGTTCCCGTTCCGCATACGCCGTGCCCTCCTTCCCTTCCGCTTCGCTGCCCGCTTCGTGAGGACGTATGCCCACTGCAGAGGGGCGCAATGTACCGTACACTGCCACCCGTGTACAGTAGACCGTCTCACGCAACGCACCCGACCGCGCTGTGGGCGGCGCTGATCCTCCCGGGCGTGCGCACCCGCCCAGTTCACCGCACCGCGTTACACCCGAATTAATGCGCGAGAGCTGCATGCGCGCACCTGAGTCGTGTGGCTTCGCGACGTGTCTGGCACGGGTCTGCCGCGAGTATCCCCTCATCTTCGGCTGAACAGTTTTTATTGTGATCCTGAAGGAACTGCTGGTCAAATTGGGTGCGTTGCTGGAAGAAGGGAAACATGCACTCGGGCAGTTCCAAACTCAGCTCAGGGGACGTACATACAGACTGGACCAGTCGTCTCTGTGGGTGTCTATGTGGGTCCATCATGTGGTAGGTTGTCGCCAGAATTACAGCCCCGCGCCGGCCTAGTGAGCCCGAAAAAAAAGTTGGAAACCGGGCACACTCACTCAGGCAGTTCCGACCTCAGCTCAGGGTCGTACAGATTGGACCAGTCGTCCGTCTCTCTGTGTTTATGTGGGTACACCATATGGTAGGTTGTCGCCAGAATGACAGCCCCGCGCCGAGCTAGTGAGCCCGAATAAAAAGAAGACGGGCAACTCGGGCTGTTCCGAACTCAGCTCAAGGGACCAGACTTCTCTGTGGGTGTCTTCGTGGGTACACCACATGTTACGTTGTCGCCGGAATCCCAGCCCCGCGGCGGCCCCCGAACAAACCACTGATCAGGTTAGGTGCGTTTCTGGAAGACGGGAAACGCACTCGGGCAGCTCGGTGTATGTGTGCAGCCGTCGCGGTGAATAATCCTGTTTGAGTACTAGACTCCGGTTGTGTGAGACCAATCAGATACGTGGGCTCCTGTGGGTCCACTCACCTACGGTGATCAGAATGACCGCCGAGAAGAGGGAGTCTTCGACGGACGAAATGTCTGGAACATCGACTGTAGGAAAAAGACTAAGTACGCCATTCGGAGACACAAGAGACATAAAAGAGTATCTGGATGCGTCATAAGATATTTTGCGACCAATATTAATGAAGAAAAACGCGTCATATACGGGGTTAAAGAATATTTCGTGTCGTGTCTCGAGGCGTCAATCCACCCGCAGCCGCACCAGCCGCGCACAGGAGATTTTATCTCAATTTAGACATTTAATGGTAACATAGATATATGATAACGGGTGCATGTATTGGGGTGGAAACTGCTGTGGAATCGTTCAAACTATTCTAGAAATGTAATTATGTGTAGGTACCAGCTCTGTCGCGCAAAAGATCCGGACCGTCGCATTCGGAACTAGTACTAGAATCAGACAAATGCATTGATAGCGGATGGAAATTGCTGTCGAATCACTGAAACTATTCTTACCCGGCCTGTTCCCCCAAAGATCCTAACCGTCGCCTACAATCAAAAAGGCGGGGAGAAGCACTGCCGCGTGAGACGCGCGCTAAAGAGATCGGCGCTAAATGGATCGAGGGACATGAAGATGTATCACCTGGCTGTTATTCGCGGACGGCCATGACAGCCCGGGTGCTGTCTTTTTATATATATTGATCTGGAGGTATCAGGGGACGGCCTCCGGTCGGGTCGGCGATCTTGCACCGTGACGTGCGCACCTTCGATGAGCCCACCTTGGCACCAGTCTTTCACCATGTCTGCACCTCTCAACCCTCCATCCAGTCCCGTGCGAGTCAGTAACATATGTTATTACCTACCAGCAACAGAGTCGGAAGGACGTCCCGATGATCCACAGTAGGTAAAAGCCACTGTCACTGGCCTCCGCTTATCACTGCCCCCCCGTAGACTCATTATCATATTCAGCTAGAGCAAGTCATTTTCCCTTATTTTCATCCAAATTCTCACCACGCAGACGGTGGGCGCAACGCTCTCACAAGTCATGAAACACATCGCACAATACTCGAGCGCATATCCAGCTGCCAAGCAGGTAGTCGTCCAATCCGACATGGTCTCAACGATTATAGGAAGCCGGGAGATCAACGTGCGCCGTACCATCCCCTTAATTTTGGTCCTGATTCTGAATTTTGAGAACACCAGCTCAAACGGCAGGTTCCGATCCTGGAAGCGCTCAAGCGATTAGATTTCTTCGACGAAACACCGCCTCGCATTTTACTACACGTCTTTTCGAGTGGTAAGTGCTGTTGACGCTTCATTTCGGTCATCCTCCATAACATCAGATCAGGTGGTGCGGCAAAATTGCTCTGGCTTTCTCTCGCTCTTGAATCCGGACCCTGGAAGCACACACACGATCAGCCACTTGTGTGCCTCGTTCTTGACTCCACTCCCGGCGTTTTTCGCCACTCGGATCTGCAACGTGTTCTTACCCTTTCGCTTTCCGGTTTTAAGAGACTGGCCGGTGCAGCGGTCGCATCGATTGCATATGTGGCACTCAAGACCACCTCTATAATGTCTGGTCGTCCCGACGTCCATGATTTCATTAGGAAGGGCTTGAATAATCCAAAGATTCTACCTTGGATGAATGGCGCGACCCCACGGCTCTACATGTACTCTGATGCAGACAACCTATCTCTTGTTAATGATGTCAGCGCGCACATTGAAATGGCGAAAGAAACAGGGTTGAACTTACGGGAAGAGCGATTTTTGGGATCCCCACATGTTTTGCATTCCAGGGCCTATCCACAGAGATACTGGGACGCCGTCTTTTCGCGTTGGGGGGAAGCGGCTCGTTCAAAACTCTGATACGGGCGTTTGAATGGCCCGGTTATTTTATTTATTTATTTTCTTCGCATGTATGTCGGTATCTTGGACACTGCAGTAGCTTCATGTAAGGTCTTGTATGATTGTTGAGCTCCGGCCTTCGACTGGCCTGGAATCGTTGCTTTTGCGACACTTCCTTGTCGTTCATTGCCATCGTCTCATGCCCTGGGGATAAACGGCTCTGGGATTGACCATGATGCACCACTGCTCTCCTCACCCCAACACCAAATGATTTTTACGGCTGTCCGTCTGGTCGTCTAGTTGTATGATGAAGCAATGAACCAGAAGGAATCATTTTAAATTTCGGAAAGGACCATCGCTGAATGCCCCGCTGAGAATTAACCGCGCCAAGTAGGTACATGGAATCTTTCCTGCAGAACGATGAAGCTGAGAACATACATCACTAGAGAGCTTGCGCAAAGCCATTCAAGTCATTGAATGGCTTTCGATTTCACGCTCTGTGGAAAGTTCTGCCCGGACCTTATACAGGCCTAAGGGAGGCCTCACTCAACATCAATTTGGTGTGCTGAATTTTGGGGAAATGGATGGAGGGTTTCTCAGGAATTGCCATTCCTGGAAGTCATTCGCCATTGAATGGCTTTTGAACCGGGCTGATAGCTGGGCCCCGCTGTCGAGAGACCCATCCGCTGGGAAGATTAGATGACAAAAGTAGAGGCCAAGTGTCTCCTCGACGAATGACCACTTAAATATGAGGGTCCAAGTGCACTTTAAATAAACCGACACTTTTGTTGGTTTTTACAACACTTTTGTTGTCAAAACTCATGTTTGCGACACTTTCACCAGGTTTGAAGGGATCAATGTAAGTGTCGCTCAAACACACTTTTCGCGACACTTTCTTTGGTCGAAAATCGGTTCCGACACTTACGTTGACGGACATCAGATCAGCGATACTTTCATTGATATACAATCAGCGACACTTTCATTGACATACGGTCAGCGACATTTTCTGTGGCCCTCGTGCATCGGTCCTCGCTCGCAAGGCTGCGTACGGACTCCGGATACGATGCTGTATCATAGCCATTAGCCTTAGCTACCGTGTATCTTTGATATATGTATATTGCGCAAGATTCCTTGGAGCCGAAAAAAAAAAGTTTATATGTAGCGCAAAGTGCATTTGAAAAATGTGTATATGTATGGGTCGTGGGAGGGATGAAAGTTTGTAAGTAGCGCAATCGGAAACCGGTCAATAAAAGTAGCGCAAAACCTAATCGGGTGAATGTATGTAGCGCAGAATCACACTTTTCGTGCTACATACTTTGGTCCTTTTTGAACTCCAATAAGTAGCGCAAAGGTGTCCATTTCATGATATAAGTAGCGCAAAAGTGAAAAACATGAAAATGTATAGCGCATGATT